GAAACTTTGACACCTTTTTCCAATTTTTTGTCTTTTTAACTAAAACAGTTTGGTTGTTTTTGAGAGTATGCCTATTAGGTTTACATTTTCTATTGTAAAATTGATTCTGTCGATTTTGCCGTCTTTTCAGAGTTTGTTTGATTTCTGTTAAATTATTTTTGGCTGGCCTGAGACAGGTAGTTTCAGCCGGTAATATATCTCTGAGTTGCCTGGACATCAGAACTTTTGCAGGAGACTCCAAACTACTTTCAATTGGAGTGTTTCTATAAATTAATAAAGTTAAATATATATATCTCTATTTTCGTATTTAGCTTTATACAGCATATTTGTCAATGTGGCCACATGTCGTTTGACTAGCCCATTTCATCGGGGATACCTAGGGCTGGACGTGATATGAGTCAACTTCCATGACTGAAAATTATATATTTGGAATGCCGTGGCGCGCGAATATGGATTTAAAATGCGTTATTACTTCTTTAGATGAGGCAGAATCTACTAGTTTTGCTATATCAATGTATTTGGAGAAATAACCTACTACTACTACGTTCAGGAACCTCATGACCTATCATTGTTTTTTTTAATATTATTTCTTTGAAATACCCTACATATGATACAATTGGAAACTGAGTCCTCAATTTCTTTACACATATTTGGCCAGAAAAAACATTACCTCTATTTTTGCATCTAGTAATTCCCATGTGACCATACTGATTTTTATTTAGAATTTCCTTATGCATTTGATTTGGTATAATGAGTTTGTTGGATCAGTGGATCAGTTTGTTTGGTTGTTTTTGGCCAACCATCGTGAACATATTTCATTACAATACGTAATTCCGGATCGGTTAATGTATGTTTTTTGATCTGTGCGATTTTTTCATTTTTAGCATTCAAATTAAACCTGAGTAAACAATAAATTGATGGGTTGATATAGCCAGATTGCGAAATTTTATGCCCCATATAAACGGTTTCAGTTAAACAGAACTTACTTTTATTTTTATTGAATCTAACATAGTTTTGCTTTACGATTTGCAATACATTTTCCAAACGTTCATCATGTTCTTCTTTGGAAAATCTCAGGAGCACAGTTTATACCGAACAGTAATCTTAAAAAGCGGTATCTGCCAAAAGTTGTAGCAAAAATACATAGATTCAAACTCTCATTATCTAGAGCAATTTGCCAAAACATCATCAAGATTACTGAAATATTTAACATTCTTTAATTTAGCACTGATTTCTTCGGAAGTCGGTAATGGTTCTCGTAATGTTCTCTACGAATATTTTTATTAAGCTCAACCGGATCGAGACAAATTCTCAAAGAGCCATCATTTTTGCGACTAGTACTATCGGATTGACCAATTCTGTGGTATAGTCTGCTTTAGAGATGATTCCATGCGACTTCATCTCCTCCAAACAGCCCTTAAACTTAGGTATTAGAGGAAACGGAATTTTTCGTGCTGAGTAGATTTTAGGCACGGCATCTAATTTCAGTTGAATGTGAAAAGGGTTCTCAAGGCAACCAACTCCTTGAAAAATGTCTCCGTATTTTTTACAACATCAGCACAATCAACAGAATAATTTTTTTTGATAACGTTCAATTCGATACAACTATCCAAACCTAAAACACCAGGAGAGTCTATATCCACTATAACAANTCGATTGATGGTGGTTGGATTCGTGGTTCAGATACTGTCCGTTTGAATGGGTTTTTGGTATACAGATGTTTCCCAATTAGTGTCCGTCCTCTTCATCAATACCTACGTCTAATAATGGCAACTCATTGTGCCATTATGTCTAGTTCTGATGTCTAGTTCTGATGTCTAGTTCTGATGGTTTCATATTATGAAAGTCTCATCAAGGTTTCTCAGCCAGACTCGAGGATCGCCACTATCACCAGTTATAGCCAATATATATACATAGTGGTTTGAAATTCTGGCCATTGCCCACAAAAAAACACCAAATAATTTTATATCATATTAGACAATAAAAGTCCAAACTAATGAAATTCAGGTTCTCTAAGCGCGGTGCCTGTGCGAAAATAACGATTCACGTTGGATTTGAATCGCTGGAGATTAATTTTTTTTTGGAAAAACTTTATCAGGGAGTTTATTCCACATAAAAGCAGTTTTCCAAATGAAAGAGTTCTCAAACAGTGAAGTTCGAGGTGTACTGAGTTGAATCTCAGAACNTCTGATATTATTTGTCTCGTAAACTACCACATTCGAACATTCTTGTTTATCCTTCATCGCATTCTAGTATTTTCGTATTTACTCCTCGTTACTAGTTTAATGCCTACTGTTCAATGTAAACGGCAAGCTACGTTGTTCGATTTGTATCAGTTGTCGATGTCGTTCCTTTGCTCGCTTGCTTGTTATCTTCGCCATTGATGTGACAATATTTACATCCGATGGTTGGATGAAAGATCAATTTCTGCCTTGATTTATCATGCGCAGACGTTGAATTCTGCCATTTGTTAGGTTAGATTAGTATCTCTTTTACTGAGTAACCTTTCAATAAAAGCATTTATTATTATCATTATTATATATTGCCTGTTAAAGTTTAGCAGAAATTCAGACATATGCCATATAAATAAGTATTTTCCTTTCGAAACAGTTCATTAGGTAAATGAAAATCGTAACTGGCGATGTACAGAGTACCATCATCAAGATTTCAAACACCTAGTACTAAAATTGTGTTTATTTCAGGTTGTGCAACATGTGTAAAAATCCACCCAAAGAAACCATTAATTTATCTCGTAGGAACTGAAGAAGGTCTAATTTATAAATGTAGCACGGCATATAGTTCCATGTATCTTCTGACATACGAAGCCCATAAAATGCCAGTTTACAGAATAGACTTCAACAGATACAATACCGATATTTTCATATCGTGCAGTGCTGATTGGAGGATAAAGATTTGGGAGGATAATCGATTGTAAGTATAATGAAAAATTGGAGTATTAGATGGAGAAAAAATAATATTTTTTGCTTGTTTCACCCTGAGAAGTTTTTTCATATTTTTTTTTCTTTCGATGTCTTCAAGATTGACAACAATAATTTCCAGCTTCGTGTTCTGAATAGGCTACACTAATAACTCTTCGGGTCACCTATTGAACGTCATGGATATTCACAGTACCACCAGCCATGTAACGAAAAAGAACCAACCCACCTTCCACTGAACATATTTTTGTTAGAAAATATCTGGCCGAATGTGGATTTGAACTAAAGACCTCCGGATGTAGAATCAAGCAAAATACCTCTGCGCTTATTCGCCACTCATAATATTGCAAATAGACCAATTAATATAATTTAGCATAGGCAGTTTCAATGAATACATAGTATAAAAATACTTTCTCTATTTCAGGGAGCCTCTATTCGTATTCGATGTGGGAGATAGAGTAGGAGACGTGAAATGGGCACCGTACTCCTCCACGGTATTTGCAGCTGTTACCACCGAGGGTAAAGTCTATGTTTTCGACTTGAACGTGAACAAATACAAACCGATATGCGTCCAAGCGATAGTTTCAAAGAGAAAAAACAAATTGACCAGAATTTCTTTCAATTCCAAACTGCCAATTATTGTGGTTGGAGATGACAAGTAAGTAATAAGCATTTTACTTTTCAAGGAAAATACCTAGGTCAATGAGTTAGTTCTACATAGTAAAATATATGATTGTACGAATAACAATGGAATCTGTGTTTTTTTTCTAAAAGGAATACAAAAAGTTTCAGCTCAGGAAAACATCAGCAAACATCTTATTTGATTCGGTGTAGACGTGTTTTATAATGTTTCTATAATGGAATGGAGATAATAGCTAGTTCTGAGATGTGTTTGGAACCTATCATATAAAAATATCAAGCTGCCATGAAATCCTCATCATCTCAAAACTAGTTGGATATATTACCAAACACATAAATGAAACAAAAAATCGATAGTTTGAAAGGATCTCGTAGCAGAGAAAAACCACAATTAAAAAAGACCATGGTCGTATCTGTTTTCACGTCTATTGTCTTCCACCTGAGCTGACACACATGCCTACCGTGCCAGGTCCCGTTCCCACATGTGGTTCACTATTGGAATTTGGACGACCGATATAAAATCAGCCGTCCACAATCGATGTTTGTTTAATTAGCTTAAGGCTATTTGCACACACACCGATTTTGGACGGCCAGTATAAAATCGGCCGATATTTTATTGGTAGCGGGTGCTTGCAGACTCACCGGATTTTTACCGGTCACCCATTCAAATCGTAATTAGCACGCACTACCAAAACAAAGTTGATACGTAGTAACTACAATTTCACCGAGCAGTCGAGACTGGAATGGTCGGTTAAAAACCGGTGAGTATACAAGAGTGTATTTAGTCACGTACACCACTACTTCCCGGGCTACTGCTGGGCTACTGCCGGGCTACTGCCGGGCTAATTGCACACACACCGATTTTGGACGGCCAATAGTGAACCACATGTGGGAACGGGACCTGGCACACACGCCGACCGGTGATCGGCGGTAAAATACCCGTCCACTGCCACTGTATCGCCGGCAGTACCGGGAAGTAGTGGCGTACGTGACTAAATACACTCTTACATACACACCGGTTTTTTACCGACCATTCCAGTCTCGACTGGAAATTGTAGTTACTACGTATTAACTTAGTTTTGGTAGTGCAGGCTAATTACGATTTCAATGGGTGACCGGTAAAAATCCGGTGAGTCTGCAAGCACCCGCTACTAATAAAATATCGGCCGATTTTATACTGGCCGTCCAAAATCGGTGTGTGTGCAATTAGCCCAAGGCCGTCCACTGAAATACACTCTTGCATACTCACCGGTTTTTTACAGACCATTCCAGTTTCGACTACTCGGTGAAATTGTAGTTACTACGTAGGTATTAACTTAGTTTTGGTAGTGCGTGCTAATTACGGTGACCGATGACCAATAAAATATCGGCCGATTTCATACTGGCCGTCCAAAATCGATGCCGATGTGTGTGCAAGTTTTTGAAAAGTATGATGTGGGATATCGCTTCCTAGCACCGATAGAGATTTTCAGTAGCTTTTGCTTGACACCTCGATCGCGTCTCTAGCGTTCCTGGTAAGATAATTTTGAAATATTCCTGAATTTAGAAGAATTTTGGATTGATAACCATTGAAGAGAACTGCGATTGCAATTATACATTGTATATAGTATTGGAGTACATCGTTTTGCTGAGTTTTTAGTTCTTTTGAGAACTAAGTGAAGATTTTTCAACAAGAAGACCTGCCGTCTGGAATTTTATTGCAGAATACTGATCTGATTGCCACTGTAGTTCGAAGCTTTATCGTCAAGAGTAGGACGCTAAGGAACGTATTACCGAGAAGGTGAGGGTCGAAGGCGAATTCCGGGGAAGTGATAGACTGAGAGTTGGATACGACTGAGGCATCAGCGAGAAGATTCTGCACCAGGGAACGCTATATTTTATTGCTAATCATACTTTTGACCGTTCAGGTTCCTTTAGACACTGCCATCGGACAACAGCCTACCAAATCCTGCAAAGACAAAGCAGGTCCCTACTCAGGGAACTTCTGGAAACCAAACGGTGTCAACTAAGCAGGGGTATATCGAACTTATATTTGAGAGGGTCAAGACATCATTAGTTCAGTCCTTCGGACTAACTATTCAACCTAATCTAACGTTGGGACATATACTGTGCTTCGATCCCTTTCTACCTTATTCTGCGAGCGGCCCTTATCCTAGGGTGCAATTCAACCGTTAGAATCCTTGTTCCTAAATATCTAGCTCAGTTCACCCTGTAGGCCTTGAATAGGAAAGAAGTTTCGCGATCCAAGGGTGTACTTAAAATATATTAGCTCACCGTGAATCTTTGCCTCTGACTATTTCCCTCTCCAGTCATATTTGGAAAAAATCTGAAACCGAGATGCAGAATAGGGCAAAACACGCGCAAGCGCAGCTTGCAAATTAACGACAGTGCCAAATCGCGAGGTCACGAGTTTCGGCCACTTAAATCTTCAATCAGACACTTTTGATTGCCAGAGTGCAATTTCGTATATAACGCAACAACGCGCAATCCCCCAGAAATCTGTTTTCACTGGAAACAGTATTCCACGAACTCCAACAGAAACGGCTTGGCTTGTCTGAGGATGTATTCTGCTAAAAGTCTCAGTTTCACTCACGAGGACACTAGTGCCTCACACCTTTTCGCAGAGCGACTTACCCCGTGCACTTTCGGCTCCTTTGCAAGTCGAATAATTAGAGAAACCGAAATGTCACAAAAAGACAGTCTTCAATTCGCGAAAACACACCGCGAAATAACTCATTTGATTTAAATCGCATTAGGGATATGAACACCCCAGCGACAAGAAGAATCGATATGCTGAATGAAGAGAAAGAACGTCAGGAGACGTTACTCCGAGAAAATGGACAACGTCTACAAGAAGAGGTGTTGTTCAGGACAAGAAGTGAGCCTCAGGTTAACCTTTACCAATTGCTTAGAATACAAGCACAATTAACTAGCCGAGATCGGCTCCGACAACGAGACAACAGCGCGTTGAAATGTGTGCGGACCAAAACGGAAAAATGAAGAAATTTAACTGGAAGATACAACCGGCGGGATGTCTGCTTTCAGACGCGATAATTTTTTCTGAACACGAGCCACTGGAGCACCCAGGAGGTGTCACCCACTTATGTAGCAACCCCAAGACAAGACCGCGCACAGGCGCGCAGTGTGTCTGCATAGATCATGAAACTGGCGCCCTAGTGAAAGAACTAGGGAATGGATGTAGACCAGGGGGTTGCCCTGAAGTCGACAGACATTTGAGGGCGGCTTCATGGCGGGGTCAGTCACCAACAGCGGCGTATAGACCATACTTAACAAACCCAGAGCTAGCTGAACGAATCCAACTTCCCGTCGTACCCAGACTAGAGATGAGACCTGAAATCCCTAGGACTCAGGTCTGGTGGGAGCGGTGTCATAAAACAAGCTCCCACGCAACCGTACAACCTTTCCGGAGGACAAAAACTTTTAGTCGCCCTTGTACTGCCGAGCTGTTTGTTTTTTCTTATCAGCCGAGTGGTGTTTCATTTAAGAAAGGTTAGTATTCTTAGTAATTAGTTTATTATTTGTTGTAAAGCAGTACGTCATGAACATATGAACGTAATTATTAATATTTACTAGTTGAATCATATGCATATAAATGTATATATGCGAAAAGTGTATCTTTTCACTGCTATACGAAGTTTTCTCATAAATGATTGTTTTTTTCATAAATTTCAGATGAAAGGCGAAAACAACGATAATGGTCCTTATTTAAGAGATCAGCAACAATTGCTCAAATTGCTTGACGAATTATCTTCAGATAAAGAAGAAGATCCATTTGCAGATAGTAATGGCGACTATGGTTCTGATAAAGACTACGAAAAATCTTCATCAGAATCAGACAAAAGTATTTTATCGAGTGACTCATAGAACCACTGTATTCAGAAATAAAATATTTACTCATAGTACCTGAACCTTTATCAGATGACGGCGTCGTTTCTCCAGAGGATTCTCTGCCACCCCCACCAATGCCTTTTACGCCAGTGCCTTTCGAAATTATTCATGGGAATTTCCAATTCCTGACTTCAACTTCGATGAGAGCAGCAACCGTTAGAAAATAATTATTGTTCCATATTCAACAGTAATGGGAATATTTGAAAGTATTTTTACTCCAAGTATATTATACTACATAGTGAAATGCAAAAATAATTATGGTCTATCTCTAATGAATACTAATATACCTAAAACACGATACAGTAGAGAAGCAAGGTGTCGCCCAGTGACCAATGAGGAAACGAAAAAATGTTTGGATTTGTGTTTACTACAAGGCCAAATTTCTTCCAAAAACATGCGCCGTTACTTTTGGTATTCGGATCGAAAACTAAAGAAAACATTTGTGGTTTCGCAGAAAACAAGAGTATGTTTCAAAATGAAGGGGACAAATGAGACGTGTTAGTCATAACTACTAGAAATCACCCTGACCTGATAAGTGTGAAAAATCGTTATGGAAAAGAACAAATAAAGCCCAACGAAGTATCTGTACATAACGATCACATGTCAGGAGTTGACCGCTGCGATCAAATGACTGCAACGTACTCATCCCCCAGAAAAACATTACGCTGGTAAAAGAGAGTTTTCTTTCACTTACTTGATGTTACAGTGTGGAATGCATTTTATTCGACTTGAAAATTATGTAAGGAATATTCTCGAAAATATCGACTTCTTCATTTTAGAGACGAACTAATAGAAAAATTAATAATAGAAATAATAGAAAAATTAATACCCAATAATATTGAAGGAAAACATTTGTCACGGCGCACAATAGGGTTAAATATACGAATTGTTGGCAGAAATGAATCTATTGTTTTTTCATGTTTTTCGGAAAGAATGTCACATTGGAAAGTGGTGCTAGATTGGTATTTGTTGTTTGCATTTGTCAGTGAAGGGACAAATGATTCATTTCACACAAATATTCATTTTCATAGCGATTCGTCGAGATTATTACTCATCAATGATTCGCTGCTGTCGCTATCTTGTGAGATACCCACATCTGGTTCCTTCACTAAAGACAATACATCTTTTTCGAGCAATACTGCTTTCTTCTTGGGTATTTTTCTCATGCTGGTGATGAAAGGATCAGATGTTATGAGGAGCAAGTGAAGGACATCTTCGTTCGTTGCACAACGTGATATCTTCGAGAATAATACTCGCGATACTTCTTGAAATCTTTGTTGCGGACTTCTTGGGCTTCTTCGCTCAGTTGGCCTATTGGAAGTATAGCATGTTCTATAATACTGGAGCCGTGTATTAAGACTTTATGTACACTTGGTGGCATCGGGTACCAATGGATACTCTTCAATAAACTGTTTTGCCGTTTCTAGAGCATACATTTGATGGCTCTCCACATTTATTTCATATCCACTTGATATGGTTTGTAGAATTATTTTGAAATGTTTTATAATATCAATGTTAATACCAGTTATTTTTGCTGATATATCTGGAATATTGAAAAAGCGCCTTGCAGTATTTCCGTCGTTGGTACTTCCAAAACCGGGATTTGGTTTATCTACCAATAGACCTAACTCATGTCGGAACTGATTTTGGATATCTTTTTTTGTAGTCGCTACAATTTGCTTGTTTTTCTCTCCACAGACTTGCTATATCTTCAACGGTAGTTTATATGCAAGGTGTAGTAGACATTCGAAAAACCGTATCCATGCATGAAGCACAGATAGGCTAAATTCCAATCTAGTTGAGTCCAGTTTGGTTGCAAAAGGAGATTTTTTCAATATTATTGAAATCATTGCATGTGAGACCACAGATAAAACATCTTTGTGTTGATGTAGTTACCTCAATATGGGTGTTATTGAATTCATATGTCAGTGGCCGCAATTGCTGTATTCGTGCATTCTCTTTCCCGTCTGGATAATTCTTGGGTTTCATGTTGAAACTGAAATCTTATTGGTCTACAATACCGTGTAGAGGAACTTCTTGTGTTCTGCCAAACAATAATTTCCTGTTGTTCTGAGGTTTTTTCCGATATCAGTCTAATAGGTACAAGGGAGGAAATGAAAATATTTGCATCTCTGGCATTTAGATCACTGTCGAAATTTTTTTTATATTCTGCTTGTCCTGATCCATCAAAACCCCACTTACAAATTAAAATCAATTTCTGAAAGGTCTTGGGTATCTTGCTACTCAAAACTGCGTGCTGAGCATCCAGGAGGCGTGAAGCGGTATGACTGAGAAGAGCTTGCAGTTGTACTTCGGCAGAAGTTTCTGTTACTATAATGCTGTCCTTATTTGGATAACATTATTTTTTCGCCGCTTAGATCTTTTTATAGGATGGAAATCTCTCCTTATCTTGCTCTCTTATTATATTATATTGGAGTCTTGTCAGTTGGGCTTCTATATACATAGCCAGAACTTCTGCTCTTGTGAGTTGTCGCTTTTTGGGTACACTTTAAGACTTGAAAGCAGTTTTATACTTCTTCCCTCGCGTCGGAGTTGTTTGAGTGACATTCTTCACCACACTTGCTGCTGCAACTTGACCAGAACATCGCAAACTCATATGAGAGGCGAAAGATAATTCTTCGGGCGAGAAGGTTTTTCTGAGGGACTCCGTTTTTTGGCGTTTTGTTCTCTCTGAAGATGCGCTGAATGTAATTTGAGGTCTACCTGCTTTCTTAGATGAAATGATGAAATTCGGAAAACTTATTGAAGTATTCAGCCAGTTTTCGTTTTTCATAACAAATCTGTCATGAATTCGATTAGATCTCTGCCATCTTTTCTTGAAATCCAGGGCAAAGAACGAAATTTTTTGATGAAGTGCAGGTAAACCTTGTTTTAGACACTTTGTACGCATTTCGACGAAATTTTTCAAGGCGTTCACTCGCTCTTCTAATTTTGAATAACCAGAACCATTCATTTTATTGAATAATTCCCTTCTAGTTATACATATTTCTGAGCAACCCGCTCCTAGAAATAACAAAAACGATATTCCTCACACTGACAATTGGTATTGTTAATTTTAAATGATATTTTTTTTAATAGAGCAAATACGTGCAACATTTTTTTGTTATTATGTGATTACATACTACAAAGATCATTCGGAAATGAAAATTGGAAACATGATTTGCTCTAATTACAACTAAAATCATAATTGAACTTTGAATTATTAAAAAAAATTGATCCTCTTAGTGATTTTGGTAATACTTTCAAAATTGCTTGCATATCAAACAAATTATTATCATCAGTCAATGGACTAACCTGTGTATAAACACTCCATGTCAAAATCAAATTTTCAATAATGAACACACCAGAGTTCTAACAACACAAATTTACGATGCAATGGTTTGACAACTTACACAGCTGCAAAAATAGCTAACGTCAAATCAAGTTTAACAGAACGCCTGCTAGATCTGGGCTCCAATACGTATTATCTGGTATGCAGACACTATTCAACTTTATAATCGTGTGTTATTTGATTCCGATTGCTTGTTTTCCTTTTTGGAATTCCTGCCAACAATTGGTATATTTGGCCCCAGTGTGCGGCGCCAAAAGCATGACAGCCGACTTCCAGAGCAATCTTCTTATGAAACTGAAGACGTGGTTCCTAGACCAAGTTCAGAAGGTCACTATCCTGAAAAAAAACGTGGTATGCCTACCCAAAAAATGTTTTTTCTGAAATGCAGATTATGCTTAAGTAAAAAATACGAAAGGAGACAAGCTACCGGTGTAAAGGTTGTCTTGTGAAGCCATTATGTCCTGTTTGTTTTCAGGAGTGGCATGAAATGAAGAGACCTAATTAATGGTAATATTTTGTAAATTTTTTTGAAAATAAAACAGTTTTTCTTGAGGGTAAACTTTCATTTAAATCACAATGATATTTTTTCAGTCATAATATGAAACAAAGCTGTACAGCGTTGGACGCAAATCAGCGTTGTGCCAATTTGGCGACTACAAAATAATTATTATTGCGGCAGAACTTCTATAAGCGTCATAAATAAAAGTAGTCAAAATCCACTAAAATATGTGTTCTCAATTATTTTTAATTACACTCAAACATGAGTTATCTCTCAAAAAACTGCATTGCCCAAATTGGTACCTTCCAAATATTTCCACTGTCCTTCAACGCGATATTTTAGTGAAATTTTGATGGAATCTGCACTACAACTGAGAGAGAGTGTCGAAAAAAATAGTACATTTCAAAGCAATGAATAGATCGTATGACTCAACAACTAGTTTGTACTCCTCAAACATATAATGAATAAAACCCTCTTCATATTTTGATGCTAGAGTAATAGTATAATTATAACTTACAGGGGATGTGTAACTACACTGAAGTTGTCTCCAAATTTGAGAATACCTTGTAAGGCACCCAAGAAACAACAGCACTTGGATCAGTGGACGTTACAGTGTATGAAGCTCGATAAATTGCTATCTCTAGTCAGAGAACCTGTAACTTTAACTCTACCAGACGATACAGCAGGAACTGAAGAGTCATGAAAAAAATAATGATACATATTGAGTATTCATTTTATTAACATTAAATAAAGATGTACAGATTTATATATAAATATCAAGAGAAATTTAACAACAATTAAAGCATTTTGGCCTTTTATTTTTATTTACATAAGAACTTTACCTAATTTATTAACACAATGTCTTTTATTTTTTCACCAATTCCAGGAAAAATAGTAGGTACACTTCTCAAACAAAACCGTACTTTCTATTATAGTCGTGAAATATAGATTCTTTGAAAGACTTTTGTGGAGGACTCAATGTTTATTATTGTTTTTTGAGTATATAACCTTCCACAATCTGAAAAATAAACAAAGCTAAGTCAATAATCTGCTGGGCAAACTGAAAAGTTCACCCCGAAAAGTTACTGCGTAATATAAGCCACTAAAGAGTTCAATTATTCAGTAACAAGTCGGATTCATCAATTTTGCTTACAAATTGAATGATCTATTGAAAAAAAATTAATTTCTGTACCTAGCTTTTTTTAGTAGTCGATATTTCAGAAAAGAATCTTTTCCGTTTTCAAAAACCAAAAACTTTGGTATTGATTGTAAATAGCTACATTTCTTTTGACATATGTCAAAATGTTGAATGTTCAAATGTCATATGCGATAGTCTGCATAGTCTGTACAGTGTGTTTTTGTGACGCTAGCGTGATGATTAGACTGACAGTGAAGATATTTATTAGTATGAGTTTTCTTTCGATAAACACTCGAGAAAAGAAAGTTGATTATGAGCTTCTTTTTCTAATGCGAAATTCATCTTGGGTTCTCTTAAATTCAAATAATTAAAAAATTTGCTAGCTAATCCATAATAACAAATACAGCATCAACATTACTCCACCATATCGTTGGGCCATTCTAGTAAATTTCGATGTATGTTTCCTCAAAATGTTCCATGAGAATCTTACTCAGAATCGGTAACAATGATGAGCCCATTGCCATTCCAAATTTGAGTTTTTTACATATTTTCAGGAACTTTATTTTTTTATTACTATCATTTTCTAATTTAGTTCTTAGGGTTTTATCAACCAGAACATTGGTGATGAAACTCACATCAATACTCATCAGGAGATCTCCGTTTCGAAATTGTTATTCACTGAGGTTTTTCAATGAAATCAGAAGTATTCTTTATGAAACTGTTTTCATTCCCAGACAGAAGTTTCAAAATTTGGAGAAGATATTTCGCAAGGTTTCGAAAAAGGGATCTGATTGAACTGACAATTGTTCTCCGAGGGCAATTTTGTTTGTGTACTTTTGGTAAGCCATAAAAATGTGTAGGTTTACTATAGTGGGAAATGAGTAACAATAGTCATTGGCACATATTTTACCGAATTATTGAAAACACGAACATCTAATACTGAAATGTCTATCTCACTACTTGTCCTATAACAAACCAAAAATCTCACTCGATGCATTTTTATAATAAATACTGAAAACATCTAGTCTATTCCATTTCATGAAGTTTTTCAATACAAAATTTGGATATTTCATGTAAATGACATTTTGATAATGAAAAGATATAATTTATAATATCATTATACCTTGTCTGCTATCTGAATTTTATGATGATTGAGCGATTAAATTCCTTGCCGAATGTTGATGCATTAGTATAGATTTACTAGAGAATATCTTGATTTTTTGTAGAAGTCTATAAGAATACATTTGCAATCTACATGTGCATGGTTTATGACTAATATTCATGAAATTCTAATCACAATTGAAAAATTATAATATTGTCTTTAGAACATTGTCCTTTGGACGAAATATCTGAAATCACATTGTAAAAAAACTACATTCTAGCTACTGAAATTGTTTTTTTTAATAACTGAGACTCCACCTAAAAAAAATTCATGATCAAACTGAATCAGTCACTTAAGGGAACTTTTTTTTAACAGGATCAGGATATTCTGGATTCTCAACAGCTCCCCTACCAAATTTAAGTTCTAAAAAGTCTCTAATATTATTTGGACTAGGTACATTCCTACCAATAAAGTCAATGCTAGACATGGGATGCAAAAAATTTTCTGGAAACTCCATATTTTTATGGCTAGTGAACCAGGAATCTTTAACCATAGATCCATTTCTAGAATAAAACGGAAACAAGTTAACATAAATTTTATTTGTCCTGCTGAAATGGACCCGATAAAAGTTTCCTTCTGTAGCTTTTTCCCAAAGAAATCCCTTGGAATCTACGACTGGTCTATCATTCGCTTTCTTCAGCCAAATACATCTCAATAAATCTTCTCTAATGAAGCCTACGTCTACATCATGATCCCAAGGTAAAATATCACCGCTTCTCATTGCCCCAAGCAAACTGCCCGCTTCAAGCCAATACCTGATTCCCGACTCATCTAGCGTATTGAAAGTGTGACGAGCAGTTTTCCTCAAGTTTGCCAAACAGCAGGGAGGAGTCCATTTGTTTTCATATAGGTACGAAGGCATAGAATCTAAAACGGTCCCGAAGCAACGAACTGAGTCTTTAGTGCATCCGTACCATTCAGTAACACCAGTTTCTCGTACAACTTGCTTTATTTTGTATAAGTTGTAGAGTTTTTTCCTTCTGGCAAGATCTGCCTGCTTTTGTTTCCATTGAGCATGATGTGAGCGCATTATGGGTTTACCCTCATGGAACACTAATCCATTGATTATTTTGACCTAAAAATACAACATAACTTCTTATTCATAGTCCATTTCGAAAAATCCATTGAAACTTATAATAATTTGTCTGATTTACTACCTGCTAGTGTAGGTTATTAGTATTTACTGACAAAAATTAATTGAAAATATTCTCTGGAGAGAAATTTATGAATTATTTTGATCATTTACATTTAAGAATATCAGAAAACTAACGAATCAATCTCAAAATAAGGTACATCTTGACGAATTATCTTTTAATAATTTTTTTATATAAATATGGAAACTAACAAAATAAAACTATTGAAGCACTACTTACGAAATGAAAGAAAAATAAAAACTCTCACACTAAAACAGTTTAAGATAATTGGAATCACATGCACTAATAATTAACACAACCATAAAAAAATACAAAAATAATTTAATGAACTTTATTCAAAAACTTTTTGGCGTTCTTTTCAAATCGGAAGGAATTATTTATGGATGGTCTATACATTTTCGTAAGTAGAATGAAAAAAAACCGTAAAATCCTTTCAGGATGAAATGATGGACTGATGAACGCTGTGAGGGACAAAAAAGTTTCATGAATGTGTGTTTCTGGCGATTTGACAAAGCATTAACACTGTTGACCAAAGCATATGTGCTTGAAAATACAGTTGATTCATAGCTATTCAACCAATAAAAAACAGCGCAACATCAAGGGTTCTCTATGTGGATATAAACAATAAGATACGGTAGGTATTCCGCAAGGATCTGTTTAAAGGTCATTCCTTTTCAATGTAAGCATGAATAACCTTTTCGGACAAAATCTGTATGGGGATATTTTGAGATTTTCAGACGATACTGCCATTATCTGATTGGAAAATCCTAAAAATGGCATTGAGGGGGACTGTCAGAACATAGTGAACACAGTTTGCAATGAATCATAACGATAGCTATCCAAATTTCCAAAAACGGTTGGACAAATATTATCGACTACAGCAACAGGAACAAACTCCAAATCGTAACGGGATATGACGCCAATTCAAACCATACAGCGTGGGACAGCACGAATATAAACCACAGAGGTGAGTTACTCTTTGATTGTATACTAGAGGAAGGGCTGTCTGTAATCAATGTGGGCTCGCAACCATCTTTTGTCACCAGCAATAGGCAAAAGGTATTAAACTTAGCCATCAGCTCACATTCCCTGAGCAAAAAATACATCAATGGACTGTATTTACTGAATATTCTTGTTCAGACCATAGATATATTCTTTTCAATATTGAGATAGGTCGAATACCAATAGTGGAATAATCTGACTCAAAGTATACTGATTGGAGCGGTTATAGAAATTCCCTCCAATCGCACTTTGAGAACGGATTCATTACTATTCACAGCTGGGATGATATGGATACACTAGCAGAGCAATTTCGCAAAGCAGTGATCTCATCCTATCGTGAGAACTGTCAACTGAGAGTTAAAAGATATAACCATAACTCTTCTTGGTGGAACAAAAGCCTTGAAAAACTAAGAAAAGAAGTTCGACGATTATTCAATAGAGCTAAAGAGTCAGGTAACTGGGAGATTTATAAAAAAACTTTAACGACACACAACAAAGAAATTAGAAAGGCAAAACGGGAGGCTTGGAGGGAGTTCTGTGAGAGTATCTCTGATTTACCTCGCAGCATAAGAACTCACAAGATTATCTCTAGAAAGCCGACTGCTGTAATTGGGTCGCTGAAACGACCTGATGGAACATTCACGACCTCTAGAAAAGAAACGTTAGAGCTTTTGATAGAAAACCACTATCCTGGAAATCAGACTCTTAATAACAACAGACCCCCCTTTCTCTAAGGGCGCCAAACGCCCAAAAAAGAACGATTGGGAGGTCGTCAATAAGGTTATTACAGCACCGGCAGTTGAATGGGATATCAAGTCGTTTCAGCCTTTCAAATCTCCTGGAGAGGATGGTATATTTTCAGCTCTTCTTCAAAACGGACTGGAAATGATTTTACCCATTCTTATAAAATTGTATATAGCTAGTCTGGCGTGGAACTACGTACCACCCAGTTGGTTGGCAGCAAGGGTGGTATATATACCTGAAGTGGGTCGAAAAGAACCACATCCCAAATCGGTACGACCAATTAGCCTTACACCCTTCTTGTTGAAAGGACTTGAGATGATACTGGACGGACACTGGCTTTATATGTAGCTCTGCTGAATAAGCACCAGTATGCATATCAAACCGCCAAATCGACAGATTTAGCATTTAACAACCTTGTAGAGAAAATTTCCTTATTCCTCGACAACAAGGAGATTGCGGTTGCTGTATTTCTCGATATTGTATGAGCTTTTGACAATTCACTACCTAACTCCAAAGGATCAGCCCTGGCTGTTAATGGCGTAGTTGGATAAATCTATGCCATGCTGGTAAATAGAACTGCAACTACGACTCTTCAAGACGAAGCCGTTAGGTTCAGAGCCACCAGGTCACCCTTCTGTGGTCGTTCCTGATGGAGCGATGCCCTCGTTAGAAGAGATTCAGATATGTACGATAGACGCGGTTCACAGTCGGTGCCAGAGGGAGCAGATGTCCGTCAACCCCAGCAAAACACCAGAAGAAGAAAATTGGACGAGTTAATGCCACTTTCTCTCAACGGTGAGGTCATTCCATTTGGAACGGAGGTGAAATATCTTGGTATTGTCCTTGATAAAAAAAAACTCACCTGAAACGCTCACTTGGAAAAAGTTTTACACTACTCCAGATTGTCCCTATGGACAAATACATTGGATATATGTGATGATTGTTAGACCAATGATCACTTATGGAGCAATTGCCTGATGACCGAAGACTTCACAGAAAACGGCTCAGGCATAGCTCTCTGGCTTACATTGATGGGCTTTTCTGGCTATCTGTGAATCCATCAGTGCCACACTGTCAGCGGCCATAGAGATCCTTCTAGATCTACCTCCTCTCCACGTTAGATGCACATCGCCAATTGCACAAATCAATCTAATGCAGACACTGCAGATAGACACTGGAAGTCACAAGCATTCTGGTAATGACCTGACATTATTTCTGCATCTGTCAACTATGAACTGCATTATATAGTACTTTTCCCAAGTAGGGAGGACTGGATGCTCCGAGACTAGAAAATATTAAGAGAAGATAGTTGTTGATTCAGAGATGGATCAAAAACACTTCAGGCTCTGGTAGAGGGGTTTTCAGTTGCAGACCCAGGACAGAGATATCAACCTGCCTAGGAACCTATGCGACTGTATTTCAAGCGGAAATCTATGTTATTGAATTATGTACGGAGAGATTGGTAGAATCCAACGTCACACACAAATTGATAGAAATGTTCTCGGGTAGTCAAATGCAGTTGGAAGCTGTTGGTTCCTATCAAGCAACGTCTAAATCGGTAACAAATAGCCAAAAACAACTCTCCTCAATAGGAAGACTCAACAAATTGACCCTGATCTGGATTCTTTGCCACACTGGCCTGGAAGACAATGAGCCTGCTAACTCCCTTGCAAAAGGGAGCCGGTGCAAGCAGCTTCATCGGACTAGAACCTATCATTGGCATCGCTTTAGGTTTTGCCAAACAAACATTGAACGCCTGGATGGCAAGAAGATTTAAGGACTTCTGGTAAAATCTTCCAGGATTGGCTCACTCCAAGGCGTCCATTCGCCCTTCGAAGCTTGAACCCAATAGTTGTTCGACTACAGTAGGGATGAACTACGATATCTAACAGGCCTCCTCACAGGTCACTGTCGTCTGAATCATCATATGCAGAGACTCGAACTGTCGGAAGACAGTGTATGTCGCCTCTGCTTGAAAAATGATGAAACAACTTTCGACCTGCCCAGCTGCGGACCGAATCAGGTTTTCAGAGTTTGGCAGAACCACACTCTTACCATCTTACCTGAAAGATCACTCACCATTTAAACTAATCGGCTTCGTTAAAAAGCTGAGTATATTTGGTCGAGTTTGAATAGGTGTGAGCCACAATAAACCCTTGCAGGTTGCAGTGAAGGGTCAAATAGACCCACTACTTCTACTACTTCATCGACCGCTACAGGCAGCTACAACTGAATTATCCCGCGAATCTGTAAGGTAAGTAATTGAATTACATAGAAAAAAAAACTAATCGATACAGTTTATTGTATGATTTTCACTATTCACTTATATTCAGAAGAAAATTTATTCAATTCTTAACAGGATGGGGCACCTCGTCATTATGTAATTTCAGTTAGATAATAATTACACTAATCCAGAGGGTGCCTTAGAGGGTGGCAAAGGGGGCAATCGCCCGGGGACTGGCTCTTGGAGGGGCCTCGCGCAGCAACCCAAGTAAATTTTAAAAAATACAGATTAAAATAAAGTTGGTTAATACTATAATGAGAACTTTTGATAAAAATATGTTGAGCATACAAAGAAGTTTCTTTCAGATACAATCTGGAGGAAAAAACCTGTCCAAACCGAAAAATAACTTTTTCTCATTCAGTTTGAACTACAAACATTTACACTTCACTTCATTCTCTGTAGAAACTTCAAGTGCTTTTGAAGGAAAAGGAGCTATGAACGCATAAGCGTCAGCGTAAGAATTGGGTAAAATGCAGGTATTTTGAAACAGCGCGCGGGTATTTTAGTTGGATGGTATGGGCTTTGTATATAGACTATTGTCTTGTATTAGTCTATATACAAAGGTGTGGGTATTTCATAGATATTTTTGTCATTGGCAATACTGCCTCTTAAGGTCTGGTCACAGAATACTAAATAATTGGAAATCTAAACCGGCGCCTTTGATCTTTATTCGGTGTTTTCAGGGACCTTGATTATGACATTTTGTTGTTGATCTGAGGATCTTAGAATAATTTTCTCTCACAGAAGTAAATAATAATAAGAATAATCGATTTCATTGACAAAATGTATTACAAGATATATAATACAAACAATTTTCGAATAATATCTTCTACATTTTTTCAAAAGGCAGAATTAGGGTTCTGATCTTGTCATTTGAAGAACGCAATCAGCAAACGCAATCTATTGAACCATTCATTCAAAATATACTGATGAAATGGAGTGTACCTACTCATTTACTCTTGAAATATGCAATAAGGAAGGCATTGAAACAAGTTTCTTCTGAATTTTAAAATACTGTAATCTTCATTTACGATGGCTCAATATTAACAAAACAACTTAACCTTGTTCGATTCCGTCATAAAATACGGCCCTATATGGAAAAAATGCTGTTGAAAATACAGGTCCATATTCAAAAATTCAAAGTTGAGGGTGGCCTGAAAAATTGAACTTTTTAATTTTTCCTGAATTTTTTTTTGATACAAAACCTAGCTCAGATTTCCAAACATCGTAATAATAGGCCCAATAATACAAAACTTTGCTTGCACTTGACTTTCTCCGTTATTCTTATCGTTTTAGAGATCCTCATGCACGTATACTGAATTTCACTCATCTGGTATAGACTATGTTGAATGTGCTGTGTTTCAAAGATTTAGATCGATAAAATACTTCAATATTTCAACAGTATCAATCAAAATTGGCGGAATAAATAGTGGAAAAGTCATCTATTGAGCATACTCGATAAGGGCTGATTTTATGGTTCTGTTTAGACTGAGATTGGAGTATATAAACTATGGTTTGATAAAGGCATCCTATAAAGGCATGCTTATATCAGCTAAGGAAGTAAGGCGTAGATAAAGTTTGTTTATTTTGGAAGTTGTAATTTGTAATGTGATAGATAATTGTAAGAATCAGTACAAACTCAAAGTAAGCAAATAAATTTCTATCGATAGTCTGGGTTGAACTGTTTTTAATTTCTTCTTCAGTGTATTTTCTAGTAAACAGGAATTATTTTTGATGGGTGTTGATACTGATAGATATAATTTTCATGAAAAATGAGAAATGAAACTTTCTATGTTTTTTACTACTTTTATTTGTAACTAACGTTACTACAATTTCGTCCTATATGGACATTTTCAAACTGATACAATGAACTGGCGGTTTGCCAGTTATTGTATCAGTTTGCAGATGTTTTTCATTCATCCAGCAGCAAGACTATGCTGAAATCAATAGAGTAGATCACCTACAAACCGTTTTCAAGGTGTTACCCCTCATTAGTGCAGGAAACATCCGATAAATCGATTGATTTCAATGCGGCTCTACTGCATGCATGAAACCTTCGTCTAAAATATAGATTGTTAATTAGTAACAGCACCATCTCGTGCACAAAGTCCCAAGCAATAGAAAACGTCCCAATACAGAAATCAAAATGATGAAGACTATATCGAGGAGAGACACATATAATAAAATGAATATGTCGAAATGAAAACTCGAAACATTCATCTCTCCCAATGTGCATACACAATGCCTACAGGAAAATAACCTCTTCCCCGCCTGATTCCACGCTGGATACTGAAATGTATTCGACAGAAATTTATGCAAGAAACCTCTCAGAAGTTAGTCTTGTTTGCTGCTGGATGAACAAAAAACATCTCCAAGACTAACTTCTGTAAGATATCTTGCATAAATCTTGCTGCTGGATGAACGAGAAACATCTGCAAGACTAANGCTGAATCTCTGAAGCTAATGATCGGTCTGAGCGGAACATCCTTTTTGTGGATTTTGAGTAGTCCATACAAGTGAGGTGTTAGCGATGATCTTTTTTTTTGTGAAATATTTCTATTTTTTTGGTTGTTGCTTGTACGTTATTTCTTTGTAATTTCAGTTTTTTGTTTAATAAAATTGTTATTTTCGGTTAATCTAATAATATATATTTTGGGCTTTAAAAAACTTGACTTGAGTAATTACGGTGAATAACATCAGCCGAGCTTAGTTCAGCTTGATTTGTATGATATATGGAGAATACGGTCACAAGGCACCAATAAATACGAACACACGTGATAATATTCTGAGAAATATATGAATTGAAAATTGTGAAAGTCAAATGTCAATGCCGATCATACACCCACGATTTGTGAGTGAATAGCCGGATAGCCTTGATTGCTAAGGCCAAAAATAAAAGAAGAATGCGATTGTGATATAAACAATAAATAAAACAAAGACAGGAAAGGGCTTGTGCTCTCGAAGAAGAAATATCGAAAGAACAGGTGTGCGACTAACCTTGGGTTTCCCCAATTCTTTTTTCTCTTGTTTTTCCTTATTAATACCAAATATTTAACCTTCTCAGATAATTGCTACTAACATATATAATTATAGAAAGTAGAAACAAATAAAGGAGGTAATGAATATCAAAGGTATAAAAAAAATATATAAAATAAGGAGGAAGTCACAGTAAACATGTTAGGAGAGGGTGGGGAAGACGAGTCTTCCCCCAAAAAATTGCATATAGACACTGTACATATTACTTCTATACGGTGATATAGATAACGAAGATTCCATGAGTAGNGAAGCCGCCACAACCAGTACTTGTACTTCCTTGCAAACATAGATTTAAAAGATAGATTTGAAAAATCTTTATCATTACTAAATTTTCCTCTTCTCTTTCATTTTCTCCTCTTTTTGCTCTGTTTTTCCACTTCCGATTTTAATTTCTGATATTTTTCGGAACGATATACCATCAGCTGGGTGATCCCCTCACCTTTAAGAGCTGTACAAATAGAAATGAATATAATCAATAGTTTCTGTCCACAGTTCAATTTATCTTCAGAAAGGGTTGGGTGAGAATTATCTATAATCTATAATTATCTATAATCGATTGAGAGTGCTTTAATTCCACTTCAAATATTCGAATCTTCTTCAACGCCAATTCAATAATATAAAATGTATCTCCTATTTTTTATATGGACGGTTTCTGTTAATTTGTTAATATAGTCATGTTTAGTCTTGTAAAAAATTGATCATGAGAGATATAGATCTGGAATAACTGCAATAAAAACATTAGTTAAAAATAAAAGTGGTAAAAAAAACGAAAATTTTTACTTCTCATTTTTCATTTCGTTTCAAATTTTTAATTTTGTTCTATGTCTACAAATCCTAGCATTATCTATCTATCTTTTTTTCCTTTTTGGATATTTGAACGACCGCTGAATGATTAAGATAAGAGAAGGTGTATAATGAAAAAAGAGAGAAAAACCTTTGAAACTACAAATAAGTAAGTAAAATATTGGCAATGAAGTAAATCTAATACACGAAAATTTGAAGAACTTCTTTGGTCTTCAAAATAGTGATTTTGCCATCAAAATTTACGTTAGTATTACCAGAGCTGTTGAAAAAATCTGTTGAAATATGTTTTCCCGTTTACCAGCTGTCGTCCCCCTACGAACGACAACTCTCAAAAGTTGAAACTTGTGCGACCTAAGGACTGACGAGATCTTACCTTCTAACGTGTGATTCCTAACAGCTAAATCCAAACAATTCTGTATTCGACTTTTTCCATTGCTTTGTTAATAATTTTTTGTTCACATGAAATATATGATGGAATTGGCCAATACTTGATGAAAATCCGTAACATTCAAAATACACTTTAACGTGTTTCGTTTTTTGTAAAACTGTCTAGTGAAAATCTTACAATAAAGTGTTTTTTTTTATATGTTCAGATGAATATTTTGCTTACTCACGACATTTTTCAATTTGAGATAAGTTCCTCTAGCATATTTATTCATCCTACACAGTAATATTTTTTCATCCTCATTATTTTATTAATAAGTCTTAGAATTACCTCTTTTTATTTTTCAATTTTTCATTCATTACAAAAACTTGAATACACTTTACTCTGTTAGCTTGACACAATTTTTCAAGCATTTCTTCTGTTACATTTTTCTAGCTGTTTATGTCTTAGAAAACTCACTATAGTTTTTTCAATTTTTAGCTTCCAATTTCTGGTTGACATAATCAGCCAACTATATTTTCTATGTTCAATAGTTTTTGCACGATTATTTTTATTATATCATCGGATACACAGGGGTTTTTATGAATAATTCGCTCTTCAGATATTAACTCAGTGCATGACTTACCAAAGTTTTCATTTCTTCTTTCAATTGCCTTGTGATAACAATAATTGTTTCTATTTTAGACTATTTATTTCTGCATCAATTATATTCACTATTAGAAGGAAAAAAATCCAGGTGTGCACTATGCAGTCAATGTCTACACCACTGAAGAATATAGAAATTCATATTGCTCATCAAATTATGAGTTGCGGAGAAGCTCTATTGCCAACTGCTTTCACAAAATCATGAAAAAGGGTCATGCAAAAATTCCTAATCACTGGTGTTACTTTTCTGCAAGAGTAATTTCTTCACTGCAAAATAAAAAACTTCTGGCTAGATAAGTTAAGCATGTATATTCATTACTTTCCATTGTCTATAAAACTGCATAGTTGAAGGACTATTATGAATTCATTTAAACACTCCACTATATTGTGTTGGGTCCTTTTCTATTATTATAAAATATCATCTGCCAACAACTTCGTCTGCATAGACTTCAGACAAAATTCAAAAATGTATGAGTAATAAGAAAATTAATGAGATAAAAAATTCCTCCCTCATATTGCTTGCTTAGTTAAAAAGAAAAATACCTGCACTTTTGCATTAAAGTGATTAGAAAGGTTGGGTTGAGTTGAAAGTGACTTGGTCTATCCAACCCTCCACTGAATCAACAATGGTTATTTCTGACTCACACCAATTCAAAAGTGATTAGGTATTTGATATGGTAGAAGTTTGAATCCCCGTGTGACCGGGAGAATTTATATAGTTGAAGGTGAATTGATTCTGCTATGTTACCTAAATATTTCACGAAAGACATTCTAAAATAAAAGGTTAACTCAAGTTATTCTGCCATCTGCATCATAATAAAGATTAAACAACCACATGCTCTTTCATTACATGCTGTAACCTCACATATCAGGCAACTATAACTACAAAGATTTTTTTCATTAATGGGGAAATATGATGTTTCTGCCAACAATGTTATCAAGATATCAAATAAAATCAAACATTAACAAACCTCAATATCCAGTGCAGCAGTCTGAATATATAATGAATAAGGAAATGGAAGAAAGAATGCGTTTGACAATCTTTTTAAAGTGTCAGTCTCCACAAGCATAGCATGTTTTCCAGATATTCCATCACACTGCATGTTTTTCACCAAGCTTAATTTCAAAGTCCATTCACGTATATTAACATTTATCCTCAAACAGTCAGGATATTTTTTTCTATTGTTCACAGTTGCAACCACAACTTGTCCTGGTACCTTATTGAGTTCATTGATCATTATTTGTAAGCTCTGCCTTGATGATGCTCTGGTTGAATCGGGTACAAATAAAACATACTTTGTTTTTATTAAGCCAATAAGTGGGTACTGATCTGAAAAACTACCCCTCAGATTTGGTGATAACTTCACAAACTTAACGTTAGCGAGAGAATTGTTAGTGAAAATGATATCGAGTGGAGGATAAGGAAGTTCATCATACAATATAAATACTTGGATATTTGGAAATAAATTGATGAATGAATGAGCTGTTAATGTCACATCATTTTCATAAAGTTCAAATTCTCTTATAACAATTGTTATTTGCTTGCTGATGTGTTTTGTTAGTGGTTTTGTAACTGGAATCGTCTTGGTGGAAACTTCGACTTTAGGATTCCAAAACGTATTTTGTTTGAGGAAAAATGTCAGATATATCACGATTATTTTGATAATCAGAAGTGACACGAGAATAGGTCTCTCGAATACTCTCAAACGCATACCTAATCGTAGTTTACGACTCCTTGAAATAAACTGAACTATATTTCGATAAAAACGAGAATATCACCATTAAAATTCAATTTTAGAATGTGCAGCAACTCAACTACAAAAACAAGCATCATAACCTTTTTATTTGATATGAAATTAAAAATAGTATTTGTTCAAATGCTTGTCATTTGAACCGTCTTCTTTTAATTTGAATGCTTCGCGATACGTAACATTTAACCAATATTCTTATATACACATTAAGGACCTATCAGTAAGACTGTTATCGTGATCTCGTTGAAACTTGTAACATTACTTCACTTTTTTGAGTCAAGAATAGCTATTATATAGTCATCTATTTGACCCTATTCGTAATGATCACGTGATGAGTGTCTTCAAAACTTCAACATTCGAACATCAAACTCGAGGATAACATTTGTCATTAGAAGCCATAGTGACAATATTCAAATATCTATGATTTTGATTTTGTTTGATTCATTTATGAGTAAAACGAAGTCAGGATCAATAAAACGACGAGTCAAATTGTGTGCACTTTTACCGTTGATTCAATAGTATTCTAGTGAATACACTTTTTCCACGCTGTGAAAAAAATATTGTCTCCTGACGTGCAGGAGTTGATTAAATTGTCGTCATATCTCCTAGTCAATATCGCACAAAACTCATCATTGTAACATGCAATTGGAGTCTATATTGCTGTACATGAACATATTCACGGATTTGTTTGTTTTGAGTTTCTTCCTCAGAATCCCTCACCAAAGGCAAATACAAGAACACAAGAAAACATCTCAAATTGATTGATTATCATTTGTTTCATTCTCAGTCTGAAGCCTTCATTTCGATGTCAGTCTTGGTCGCTATCTCAAGAATTTTGAAAGTAGTCAATTTATACCATATGATTTCACTCATAAGAGTTCAGTCTGAATGTAATTGGTCGATTCAAAATTTCAACAAAGATTTCTTCTTCTAGACTCATTTTGTGTAATAATAAACTCAATTACTATGAAATAACATTCATTTCGAAACATAATTAAATCATTAGTTGTCTTGAAAATGACTCAATATATGTTAAGTGTAAATATTATAAAATGAAATTGTTTTTGTAGTTTCATTCCAGTAATGTTACACATTTTATATCATATACCACCATCATTATATCACATAATAGTATCACTTTCGTTACAGAATAACCACTTAATTTTCAGGAAAATTGAGCAAGTAGTTGAATTTAGATATGTTTTCAAGTGGAAATATATCAGTAACTTTTTTGTTTACCAATATCATGGAACCTCCATGTGTAGTAATCTGGCGGTTGAATCTGGATGCAACAATATAGTTAGGTACGAAACAGGGTTCCTCCATATTCAGCCAGTGTTCAGTGACCAGGACCAGGTTTGGCCAATTTAGAGATTCAGCGAATATAAGAAGTTCGTCAATTTTATTCCTTATTGACTGGATGTTTAGTAGGGGAAGTGAAAAGATAAAGCTGTCTTTTCTTGTCAGTTCAATTGTTTTTGTTTCAGTCAACCGTACACTATTAATATTTGTTTCTTCTATCAATCTTTGGGAGCTACTTGACTTAGGCGGGGATATAAAAAATGCTGTTCCTTTTTCAAGTTTTCTAGATTGGTGGGCGATTTGTTACTTTCATGTCTTACTTCATATTCATGTTTTGTAGGGACTGTAGTGTTTTCCATTCTTCCTTGATCATCCTTTTTGGTAAATTCCATCATCGAATTGATGTGCATCAAGATAGCTGTGGCCAAGTGCCATTTTCCAATGTTGTTCACTTGCCCATTTCGATTTAAGTTTGATTTTCTCAGAGTCGAATTACAGTCGAAGAAGTGCGATGTACTCAATTTGTTTGAAAATACTTTCTTCATGAAGTATAAGTTGTTTTCATATACTTCTGAGTTTAAATTTTGTCGATAATAATGGTATGGTTGAGAGATAACAATTGTATTTGTGTGTTTTGACTTCATAATGAATTCCTCAATGAGGTGTACATTTGCCATACTTGGCCATAACAAGACTGTGTCCAACTTAGTGAAATGTCGTGAGTTATGGAGTGCCGTTTGAACTAGTACTTTGTCAGGTGCACCTGGTTTTAAGAAAGACTGAATGTGGAAGTTATGAGACTGTCTGTTGAAGCTATTTAATAGATTTCTACCTTGAGATCCTGATATAAATAGTATCTTTGGTTTTTGATGATTCTTGGATTCCAATCTAGAGTGAGTTTTGGGTGTATTCGGCATAGGAACCGACGTTATTTTCGTTTCATTTAGACAGGCTTTTTGAGGTGGAAACACAATTTGTTTTACACCAATATTTCTACTTATGCATGTATCGGTTTCTTTGGTTTGTGTATATTTCTGTACTAAGTGGTTGGATGTTTGGGTGGATATTGATATTGTTGATTTGTTTTGGAATGTTTCTAAGCTATGTTTAAGTTCACTTATATACTGCTTTGCTTCTTCTATACGCTTTTCTTGATTTTTTATCATTTCATTTGCTTCGTCTTCGGATTTGAGAGCTTCCTGCATAAAGGAGTCCATTTCCTTTTTCATTTTGTTGATGTGTCTATCTTTTGCTACACGATCCTCTGAGAGTTCCTCTATCGTGTTTTCCAAAATACTAATTTCAAGATCACGTTCATTGATGGGATGNAGACCTGCAGGAATAACTGAAGCAGTGACATCGTCAATGAAGTTACTACATACATAGTCAATTGTACTAGCTGAATATTGAGACACTCTAGTAGGTTTTTTTACATGCATCGAAAAGTTAAATGATAGGAGTAAGTTGTTTAAATCATGAAATTCTCTTGATTTTGTATCAGAATAATTTATATTAAAGTCGCCAGCTACTATAATTTTGGCATGAATAGATAATTGCGATAATAGATTTTCGAGACTGTCCAAAAAAGCTTTTAAATCAGTGCCAGGTGCTCTGTAGATGCATACAATATAGAGATTATTTGAACTGTTATAAACAATGGAAAACTCGAATATTTTTTCTATGAGCAAGTAGTTGAATTTAGATATGTTTTCAAGTGGAAATATATCAGTAACTTTTTTGTTTACCAATATCATGGTACCTCCATGTGTAGTAATCTGGCGGTTGAATCTGGATGCAACAATATAGTTAGGTACGAAACAGGGTTCCTCCATATTCAGCCAGTGTTCAGTGACCAGGACCAGGTTTGGCCAATTTAGAGATTCAGCGAATATAAGAAGTTCGTCAATTTTATTCCTTATTGACTGGATGTTTAGTAGGAGAAGTGAAAAGATAAGGTTGTCTTTTCTTGTCAGTTTAATTGTTTTTGTTTCACTCAACCGCACACTATTAACATTTGTTTCTTCTATCAATCTTTGGGAGCTACTTGACTTAGGCGGGGATATAAAATATGCTGTCCCTTTTTCAAGTTTTTTTGAAAATCTAATATAGTACTAGTCAAGCCCTGTCATTTGACCAATATTGAGTTAGTAGTTGTGAAATACCGCTATTTTCTAGCTGCGTCCATCTCGGCCAATCAGCTTTTTTGGATGGAATCCAGCAACTTCAGGGAGTGTTTGGGGGTAGAGCTTCATACATGTGAACAATACTCCAAAGAATGTCTGATGTGAGCCTTATAAATTATCAAAAGTTGCTGAGATCTGTACAGTTTTCTGGTTCGGAACAGTGTTCCAAGCTTTTGAGAAGCAGCCTTTGCAGTTCCAGCGATATGATTGTGCCAAGACATTTTGGTGTCCATTTTAACCCCCAACATATTTATCGAAGCAGAAAGCCGAACTGTCTGTCCTGACATACTTTGGATGAAGATATGCAAGACATGTAAGAGAAAATGTTTTATCAGGCAGACAAGGAAACAGTAATTGGGAAAATATTTTTCAACAGAGCCTCGAAGACGAGTTCAATAATTCGAAACGTTGGAGAAAATTATAGTTTTTCTAAGAGCCTACTACCTTTTTTCTTCATGTGGAAATAACTGAAATATATTAATATGCAAAAGGAGGAAGAAAACTTGTACTGAAGGAAAATTAAAACCGAAATACTTCCAGAAGTTTCTCTATTGTTAGTATTCACAATTACGTCCTAGGGTAATGAAGGTCACCCGAAGTATTTGTCACTCTAAAATTCGTTTCGCAGTGTCATTTTTACGTATATTTACATCACCTTTATAAACAAATAAATTTACGCAATTCTTGTCAATTATTCAAAACGCGATAATTGATAATTTCATAATTTTTGAGTGATACTTTGCCATAGTTCAAGGGGATCTCATTATCAGCACCGTGACATTTATCACTCAAGACCATTTTTGAAAATCATGTGCAGTACGCTAAAAATGTATCCATCACACAAGACCTACTCACAAAACATGGAAATTCCACTCCTTCATTCAAGTTTAAATATAACTTATCGAATCCAATTTGATTAAAATCGACTCTGTGCTTCTCGATCAGCTGTTCTTAACTCAAGGGTAGATTGAGAATATGCAAAATACGGAAATTCGAATCGGAAAAAATGTATATTAATGAAACCCTGATAAGATGAACCTTATTGGCTAGAACCATAATAATGAAAGAGCTCACTGGAAATACATGAATCTTTCGTACATTTCAATAATTTGTCTGAAAATGAGTGAATTCGCTTCAAAAACTGGTTATATTGAATTGTTTCGAACAATTTTTCCATCTTTATGTCATATGTTTTTGTAACTCCATATCTCGATAAATATATACTACTGTGTATACACTGACCGATAGGGAATTTTGAACTCTATGCATTGATGCTGTTCAGTTTTTCCAATTTTTTTTGCCATTTTTCAGCTGGATACAGCCAAACTCTCATAGACGTTCTTGTTGTGAATAACTTACAGCACATTTTGTCCTCAGATGTTATTGATATTGATGGTGGTTCCGATCATTTTGCTATCATTCTTGAGATTGATATACCAAAAACAAAATATGAAAAGTTTGTTAGTTACCGTCATTTCAGAAATCTTGAAGTAAACTCCTTTAAAGAAGATTTGTTACAGGTCAACTGGGGCAGTATTTATCTTTTAGATTGATGACATGCTTTCCTTCTT